AGACAGAGAGACAGAGAGACAGAGAGACAGAAACAGAGAGACAGACAGGGAGAAGGCGGGGAGGAAGGGAGAGAGAGAGAGGAAACAAGGGAAGAGGGGTTTGGGTAGCATCTCAGGTTTAATGCTCACCATTAAAAAACAAAGTAAAATCTACATTGAAAGGAAACAACGTAAAAATTATAAGTAGCGCAAACAGAAAACATGAAAAATAAATGTAATAAGTAATCATAGGTAAAATATATCCTATTAAGCCTCATCTATACTTGTAAGTTGAATAGAATAGTACAATTTTGTCCAGCATGCTGACAGCATATACAAATGTAGACACATCATGGGATTCCACGACATTTCAAAGGTAAACTAAACATTAAAGGTAGTCTGCAAAGGAGAAAAAATCAAGCAAGCTTCAGACTTCCCATATGAAACATCACATTGTGGAAACACTCAGACAATTTTAGGAATTGTAAGAGAAAATATTTAGATTCAAGACCGTGTACATCTAGATTATAACTTGCTTGCAAAAACCACGAAACTCTCCTTGCACAGATTTAAATTAAGAGAACAGGCAAAGCTGACAAAGTACTTTCTTTTTCTTTTTCTTTTTTTTCTTTGTATTTTTTAGAGAAGGGTCTACAGGGTGTTCAGGGTCTCACTACTAGATTGGACTCCTAGTGACCCGCCTATTTACAGCCTCCCTAGAGCTGGGATTATAGGCATGTGCCACCTCGCCCAGTCTCAATTGCCATCTCAGCGCGCCCTGGGTGTGGGGCCAGCACGGCAGGCCTGGGGATTGAACCTCCAATCCCTGCTCCTGCTTGCAGGTGCTTTAATCCACTGAGCTATTTACCTAGCCCTGACAAAGTCCTTTCTCATATAGGAAAATATTAAGGGAATATATAATTAATTTTTTCACTTTCATAATAAAACTAGACAAGAATGTTCTCTAGACAACAGAAAGATAAAACAAAATCCAGAACTCAAGATCAGAAAAGTTTAGGAACTAATGTTAAATACTGAGGCCATTTTGAGAAAAAAAAAAAAAAATCTATGAAAAGCTATATAACTACAAATTTTTTTTACAAACAAAACATTGAAGACGACAGGTGAGAAAGAAAAGGAAAGCAGTAGGGGACCAAGTTCTTTATTATACATAAAAACAGAGTGACATCGAAAAATAGGGAACCATCATTAATCAAAACTGGTATAAATAGCTCTGAAATTTTAAAACACACCGCAGGACCTGAAAGTTCTGGCACATAGTCTTACCACCCATCAATATACACGGTTTTCTTTTCTTTCAGACAGCCAGAGGATGACTAAGTTTTCTGAGCCCCTTGGGCTGGCTGAGATCATGTGACTGTGGACCTAGGCAAACAGGGA